ATTCTCTAGCGATATACATGGCGTGGAGCTCATTTATGGTAACCAGTGAGTGAAGGCTGCTGTTAATCTCACTTTTCCAACCGTGCCTTGGGACAGCGTCAGGCAGGAGTACCAGGCTCTTGTGAAGGAACCCAGGCCAGCACTTGGGCATCTAACTCTGCCTCCGCTTCACTCCTGAACCCCAAAGTCTTTTGTGTTAAAAGCGTGTTCACCATGCAATGATTTACAGTGAAGCTTCAGAGAACTGAGCGGATCACGGGACCTGTGGCCTCATCAATGGGTCCACCAGCTGATCGATTTATAATTCAGTGGTGTCACTGAGATGATGGAACTAGGGTGGGGTGGAGCTTAGTTGGAAGAAAGTAGGACACTGGGGACATATCCTTAAAGAATATTCCCTGTCCCCTGTCACTTTATCTCTTGCTTCCTGGCTGTCGTGAGGTGGGCACCTTCCCTCAGCCATGCATTCCCCTCCCTGGTCTTCTGTCTCACCTCAGACCCAAAGCATGAATGGAAACTCAAATAGGGAGCCAAGCTCAAACCTTGCTTTTTTTTGTTGGTTTTCCCTGACAGCTCCCACTTGAGTTCCTAGCAAACCCCATCTGTAGCTATCTCTTGGCTCTCATTTCCTGGCACCACACTGCTCAGACTTTCACTAGCTAAGATGTCACAAGCTCAAAGGGGTGTGTGTGTCCCTTTTCTTGTATATATAGTTGCCAACATGAGAACAACTACTACCCCGAGTATGCTGGTAAGCAATAGTGCGTGCTGATAGGCTGACGTGCTGCTCCTCCCAGCAAACACATTGACACAGCAACCAGGTCTTTCTGAAAGCCCCAACTCAGCTGAAGAGTGGCCGGGAGGTGCAGTGGTTAGCCACTGAGAAACTTCTGTAAGAAATATGCTAACGTTTCTGATGCTACAGAAGCTCCCAACTGTGCTGGTGAGCTTCCTGGCACACAATGTGTAGCTCCCACGCACCCACAAAGTAGAATGTGTTGCTCCTTCAATGCCTGCTAACATCTCCTGGGACTCTTCGGCCCTCATCAGTTATGCTTGGTTGTAATCGAGAAACCCTACATTGACAACATGAAGTCAGATGTGAAGAAAGTGATTTTGCAGCACTGACTAGATGTAGCTCCTTGCCATGCTCTTGCAAACAGAAACGAAACAAGATGAGGCTACAGTTGGCTGTCCTTGGGTACCGCCCATGTGCCACACCACAGCGTGAATTATTGGCAAGGACAACACCCCTTCTTGGCACTCCCATTTGTTCTCAGATCTAAGTTCTCCCTGTTCCCAGTGCACTTGCATCCGGCCTTGCAACCCGGGCTGTCAGTTCCAACACTCCTGGCCTATGCTCCCCCAAAAGGTGAGCTGCTGTCACTCAAGGGACTCTGCTAAAGCTTAGCAGAGGAAGGGCCCCGTGGGTTCAGTGATTGGTCTGCTCTTACAGAATTTGTGATTTCTGAAATTTAAACCAAGCGTGGGAGGAAATGAACCTGGACCCTGAGACCCTGGTTCCCAAATGGACTTTCACACCCACTTCCAAGTACACAGTCATCTTCTACAGACATTGTATCAGTATCTGTGTCTAGAGCGGCAAAAATACCAGCTGTTCTATTTTTTCATCTATTTTATGTTTAAATTTCTAAAGTCACCCTTGGAAAACACCGAGAGGAGAAACCGCTCTGGAGGGCACGAGTTCCTTGCTCCCTGTTTTGATTGTAAGTGGCTGAGCACCACCAGGCACAGTGAGACGCTGGCTTTGCCTGGCAGTCTTTTATTGTTGCTGGATGTTCAGACTCCCAGGGGCAGCATTCCCATGTAAGATATTGTTGCAAGCTGCTGATAAATGAGACTTGGCTAGCTAAGCAGTGCACACGGTGTGCAAGAGAGACGGAGCCCCCTCTGACTCAGCCTGGGCACAGCTGCGGGAATAATGACCAGAATGCAGAGCAGCGAGAGTACCGGCCATCACCTAGCAGGCCTTCAAGCCGTGTCAGCAGCTGATGGCTTCTGCTTGCCATCTATTCCGGTGGACTGTGATCATTATTGAACCCCAGGAGTCTGGCAGTCACAATACCCTGTCAATAGCCGCCAATCCAATGCCGTGTGTTAGAAGTTACTCTGGGAGGACAATCTCAGAGGCCAATAAGAATTTGCGTATGTTCCAAATATATTGCAAAGACAGGCAAGAGATTTGGATCTACTGCAAAAATGGAAAGAGACAGATACTTGGGTGACATATTTTTCCCCTCAGCATTACTTTCAGGTTAGAGATAACTTGAAGCTTCCTGAAAAGAATTTGTCCACTCTGAGTTTTGCTTTTTGTTTGTTTGTTCAAAATATGAGTGAAAACACACAGCTCATTACGGAGACTCTGGCTTAAATAGGTAAAGCAATTCCTGTGCAAATATGCCATGCATAGCACTTGGTCCCTGAATATCAGCCTGGGCTCTGCCTTTTCTGTGTGGCTCTTCCTGTGCATGCTGCGGTCTTTGGTTTCTGGCATTTGGAAAGTCATTTTCAGAAAGGGAAAGACTTCCAAGAACAGGGAAGTGGGGATTGATGAAATAGAGGGAAGGTTGCTTAGCTTCTGTCAACAGCCGCAAGAGCAGCAGAAGAGGAGTCAGGGCCTCCAGTCCGAGCGGTAATAGACCACAGCTAAACTTGTAACCACACACCCAAAGACCATAGCTAAGCATCATGTTATACATGTTTAATCTCAGCAATCAGGGGGCAGAAGCAAGATGATCTCAAGTTTGAGGCCAGCATGAGCTATGCAGCATGACCCTGTCTAAAACATACTACCAAAAAAAAAAAAAAAAAAAAAAAAGCCTTTGCTGTCTCCTAGGAGCTGTTCTGTCCCTCCACCCTGGCTCTGGCAGACCACCTCTACAAGGCAGATCACCTGAGCTCCTGGCCAGCTGGCTTTAAGCTCCAGTCAGTAGGGAGCAGAGGGGTCAGGAAGCAGCTGTTGGCTCACCCCTGTCAGGACTCACTTAGGCACAGGGTACTTGGGGGCCTGGCTATGGATTTGACTCTGGTGCATTCTGGCAACATAACTCTCCTTTGTCTCTAGGGGATCCTCCTGCTGTTGCCACCTTGTATGGTCCTTAAATCACATAGACACCTTTGTAAACAGTCTTTCCATTGAATTCTCCTCATCGCCCCTATGAGGTGTCATCTGTTTCTTCCCAGGACATGGATATAGATGAGAGCCTTATGGAAAATAGAAAAAAGACATTCAAATTGGCTACATAGGTTCATTATAGTATCACCTCTAATTCTGTATATTTTGAAATCTCCTAAATGAAAGAGATGACCCAAAAGAAAAAGAATAGGAAACTATCTTGGTGGCCACAGAGCTGAGGTAGATATTAGTGCCAGCTCCATCCCTCAGCCTGGAGAGGTGATCTGTACCCAGAATGCCCAGCCAAACCGAGTAGGCCCATATAATGGTGGGCAGATTCCTGGTAGCCAGAACTGTTTTAGGAGAAAATGGTGGTCATATTTAAGCATATTTAAGATTTAAATAATTGTGAACCAGAAAAAAGCAGTAACAGAAACAAAATCCTCCAGAGCACTGTGCTGGGGGCAAGGTACTTTGCTTTTCCTCTGCTCTCATAACACAAGCAACACACGTTTCTGTGACAATGGTACGGGAGTTCTTGCTACCAGCAAGTTAGCAATCAGGTCTGCAGAGATGGCACTCAGGTGCTCTGTAAATCACACCAGTCAGTCCCCAAGACTACACACACACACACACACACACACACACACACACACACACACACAACCACATACACACAACCACATACGCACATCACATATTCACACATTCATGCACACACAACACAACACACACTCACACTCACACATTCACACACACACAATCACATACACACACTGGAGTTTTGCATCATAGTTCGTGACAGTTAGGAGTGTTCTCTAAACTGTTTACACAGAGGAGAGACAGAGCAGAGTGATGGTTTAGGGAGATTAACCAGACAGCACATGTAGAGCCCCCTAGAGAACAGAGGCGTGGCCAGAGAAGATTGTTTGAGCCAGTCTTAACCACCTATTCTCCTAGAGAAACGCAGGAAGGAAGAAAGGAGCTTGTGAGAGGCCTTCTGACGTTAAGAATGGGAGGACTGTATGGTCTATAGGCCATGAGCATGAGGAGTCACAGGGTCTCTGAGGATGCTCACAAGCTCATTATCCCTTTTGTATAACAGTGCCTGGATGACATTAGACAAGGTGTTGAAAGACAGACAATTTTGACAGACAAATAAATATTAAGCCAGAACATTATCTTATTAGATGTTAGCCTCTTTTACTGAATGCTGACACATCTATCATATTAGACCCAAGCTGATACTACAAAATTAAAAGTCTGCGATAGGGGTGTAGCTCCTTGTTATAGCACTTGCCTAGTGTGTACAAGACCTTGGCTCAATTCCCAGCACCGCCAAAATAGAAAATGAAAACCCTACTAGACATGTCATAGGCCTAAGCCATTGCTGGCTCCTCCTAAAACATCCAGGAGAGTTTTTTTAATACCCAGAATCTTTGTACTAAAATCCTCCTCCACCAAGAGTGCCCTCGCTAAGGACCCCACCTGCTCCTATGCCATTTCTAACCCAGTTTTAGTACAAAAACCGCCAAAACCAAGGAAGCTACCAGGGGCTTGACTTCAAAACTCTTTGGAAGGAGGAGGGAAAGGGTAGTGAATTTGAATTAATTATTCGTCCTAGTCCCCGATTTATCGTGTTTTTATAAATGAACGCTCATAAGAACTACTCGCACTTAAACATGAAGTCCTTCTCACCCCAGCAGCATGTCTCAGGATGTACTTTTTTCATTCCGTTCATTTTCCCAGGCATTCTCTACAGTCTTCACCAGGCAATTTGGCTTCCTGGCTGAGCTAGCAGGACAGTGTTTGTTTCTGAGGTCACTATGATGTCACCTGACCCATGTCTTCCTCTACCTTGCAGATATTTGCCTGAGATCATGAATGATGGGCTGACCAACCAAATCAACAACCCTGAGGTGGAGGTTGACATCACCCGGCCGGATACTTTCATCAGACAGCAGATCATGGCTCTCCGGGTGATGACCAACAAACTGAAGAATGCATACAACGGCAATGACGTCAACTTCCAAGACACAAGTAAGGAAATCGGCACAAAGCCCAGGGAAGCCCACAGTGGAAAATGGTCGTGTGAGATTGCACGCTCAATGGATATGTTTAACTACATGTCACTTGTTCTTAATCATGAAGCTTTTCCAGTCTAAGCCACAAAACTTTCATGCTAACCAAAATCATAATTCCTATTAATGAGTGTGTGTGTGTGTGTGTGTGTGTGTGTGTGTGTGTGTGTGTATTCATACCTGTTTGGGTACATGCATGGAACAAAGGTCAGCCTTGAATGTCATTCCCTGTCAGGTCTTATTAATCTGACTCATTTTTAGAAACAGGATTTTTTACTGAGACCTGGAGCTCACCAGTCAGCTAGGCTGTCTGGCCCGTGAGCCCCAGGGGTCCTCCTTTCTATGTCTGTCAAGTGCTGGAATTTCAGGTACACATCACCACACATGGCTGTTTTTATAAGAGCTGGGAATCAAACTCAAATTCTTATGCTTACACAGCAATTATTTTCCTCACTAAGCTATCATCCCAGCTTCGGGTGAAATATTTAGACATACAAAAGCAAAACATACTTTAATCCACCAGTTGATCCATCTATAATAAAGTGAGTGTTTTTACCTCGCCTTTTCTCTAACAGCATTTATATCTACTCTAAACTCCTGCCGGCCTTCCCTATCGCCACCTAAGGAATCTTCTGCAGACTTGTTGGCAAGCTGGGCTTCAGTCCCCATCTTGTCTCTCAGAAACAATGTAGACATTCCTTGAATTTCTGATGGTTCCAAGGTCACACACAAGCAGGAGAAACTGCACTTCAAAGTGTGAATTTGGATCTTTTCTTCAGTTATCATTATGTGATATCATATTCTCTGGACAGAAGACTCAAATCCATGAACCCCAGTGAGTCCCAAGAACACAAGGGTAAACAATGGCATTCTATGGGTGCTGTGTTAGCTTAGGATGCTATGTAAGTTGTGTATTTTCGATTTGTTTAGAATTGTAGTACTTTTAAATTAATGACTTTATTTGGGATAAGCCTTCTCTGTAACTAGAGGAGAATCTATAGTTCTTGAGACTCACGTTCCCCCATTACAACAGCATTATTAAATGCCTGAGGATACTAAAACTGTGAGGAACAAATAATGGCAAGAGGTTCCAGCAAGGGACCTATTGGAGGCTACACAAAGGTGACTTATTAAAGAGCTAAGACAGTGTCTTGAGGGTGGTAAGCAGGTTCAATGAGTTATTTTCCTCCCTACTCAGTTGTACACAGACACAAACCGTAAACATTTATATCTGAAATATTAGAGAAATAATAAACTGCTGAATAATATTGCAGATGGCTGTTTCAGTGGGGATCGTAAAAGCATTTGAAGTGATTTCATGGGCTCTCATAAGCGAACGCTGAGGTGAAGCTAAGTATATTTGGGTTTTGTCTAAGTGGCTTCAAGATGCATAGCTACAGAGTCAAAGGCTTGTGGGATTTCTTCTTAGGTATGTTGGTTTTCTCTTAAGTGTGTAACTAAGAGAATGCACTGGGGAGAACATTCTTGAGCATCGGTTGTAAAGCTGCCAACGATCCTTAGGTTGCTCGCTGAAGCTGAAGACGAGTGTGTATTTGGTTAATGAGTTAGAGAGGCACAAGTCACAGATGGAAGACATTAAGTCATTGCACCGTCCTACTGAGCCGTTCCCTGCAGAACATTTGCAGCACTTTCTTCCATTTTTAACAACTCAAGAATGTATTTTCTCCGCACAGGGTGATTGCCACCGCAGTGGACTTCATTGATATCAAATTTCTCAGAATCATGCCATTATCTCTTTTTGCTTTAACTAGACCTCTCTTCCTCTTTGGAAGAGAATGCCACACCCGCTTTTAGCCCTCACTGTTTCCTCATCGCTTAGCCTCGTGTTTCCCATTCTGTCCTATCTTCTCCATGTAATAACGCACTGTTTTACCTAGAGAGTAATTATTTACATGAGTAATGAAGTTGTCTAAGAATTATCCGGTGTTGGGCTTGTTGCAGTTTTTCTTCTCTGGCCTACAGAGATGTCATTCTGTAAAACTCAAGGAATGTTAAGGAGGCAGTGACTTTTCTCAATTTCTTCTCAAAAGAAAACAAAACTGAGGGACAATGAAGACAATCCCTTGGCTCTAACTCAAGCACCGAATCTAGCTGCTTTAAGACGGTGCCTAGCCTATGAACCATTATCAGACTCTCAGCCATCACAACCCTTATTGCTCGAAGCCAATTTTTGAGTTGCGCAGTCTACTCCCATAACCCCTGCATTTGTGATTCCCTTTCAAAAAGACTAGGCCATTGTTTTTCACAGCCAGAACCTTGTCATTATTTGCTTCCCACAATTTTAATATTCCAAGTCACTTTAAAAATATCTTTGTAAAGGTTATATTACCTCTTGCTCATGATACCAGTGTTCAGAACAATTCCCTTTGCAATTCTGATATCTCTGAGTTTTATTAATAGGCATTTTTCTCCTTGTAAAGGCCAATAACGATAAGGCAGAGAAAAGATGGGAAACAAATGTAATGTATTTAAATGATCTTAGCTGGTATTTAGATGTCCCATTTAGTGGGGGGGCAGTGTTAAATGTCCCTTCTTCACTCGGGGGAACAACAGAAGAGTCCCTACACTGACTTGACTTGACTTAAGTAGCATCTGAATCCAAAATGGTGCCCATGTCTCAGGAGCAGTTGCATCCAATAGCAGGACAGGAGTTTAGGAATGTTAGCTAAACTCACTGAGCAATGTTAGCTAAACTCACTGAGCAAATGAGTGTAATGGCAACTGTCTCATTTATCCCCATAACAGTTCTGGGGAATAGACATTATTACTTTTATTTTTACAGGAGAGGAAAAAGATGTTTGTTGAAGCTGGCCACTTTTGTCCATCTAAATTAATAATTGCAGCTTGAGTGTTAGGCTACGTTTCCTGGAGGAAACAAATCTTTTTCATCTGGCATCATTGGCAACCATGAGTTTGCTTCTACATTTTGCCAAATTGTCTCTACACACAGCCGGTTATCAATTGCTTGTGTTTAAATATAGAAACTGATGGAAGTTGAATTAATTGCTCAAGGCACATTACTTACTCAGCAAAGATTTATTGAACATCTGCTACACATCAGAGATCACCGCCACCTGGAAATGAACGGTCTCTCAAAGCCTCTACCCTCAAAAAGTTTATATTCCAGTAGAGTGTGGACAGTGAACAAGCAAACAAGTCAATAAATAGTAGAAGCCCGGGTATTGGGGAGAACTTGTAGGTAGCAGGCACAGTGGTAGCTGGCGTGGTGGAAGGGGTTGTCTTAGGCCATCTGCAGATACCCAAAGCTGGAGTTGCTCAAAATCCTTCACATAAAATGACTTGGCATTTGCATATGGTCTAGACACATTGCCTGATATGCTTAAAATAACCTGTGGATTACTGTTAACATCTAATACAATGCCATAGGCAGATAATTGTTATGCTGTATTTTTCAGGGAATAATGGCAAGAGAAATGCAAACATGTTTGATGTAGATACAGTCATTGTAGAACCACATGGCACACTTGCTAAAGAGTGGCTGGGAGCCATGACAGAGCAGGAAGCTTAGCAGGGTCTGTTCAGACATCATACTATTCCAGTGAGTTTAAGTTGGTATTTGTCAGGTTCACATTGCTTCTTGGAACTTTCTGGAATTATTTTGACTCCAGAGTTGGTTTTGACTATGTCATCAAACATGAGGGAAGCAAACAATGAAACATGATAAATAAGCAAACGCAGGGGCATGTTGGGCAGAAGGGGAAGACGCCACCCTCAGACTGCAAATGTTGTAGACGCTGAATCAAGCAGGGACTGGCAAGCTTGTTCTGGAAAAGGACAGACAATAAATATGCTAGACTCCATACAGTCTCACTGACAGCTACTCTGCTGTGCCCTGGGAATGTGAAAGCAGCTGGAAGCCACTGGGGATGAGCAGCTTTACTTGTGTTTACAGGTGTTACAATCAAACCGTCAGCCTGAACTTCACATGTAGAGCTCTTACAGTCACGTGGTAGGAGCCCCATTTGGTACTCCAAACATTAAAGAATGTAGACAGTGTCTACGTTTGGGGACACAGGGAAGTAAGCAACAGACTATAGCTCACCTACTCGTGACTGAGACAGGCTTGTTGAAAAGGGTCCATCTTGGCTGTTAGGACAAGAACATGGGAGTTGGGGTAGGGGAGACGCCCAGCACAGTAATGATGTCTGCCTTCTGCAGTTCTCGGCTGCTGTTCTGCAGTTTCCGGCCTACACTGCTTGCTTTTATTTTCTGTTTTACCTTAAATGGCCTACTAAAAGTCTTTTAAAGAAGGTTAAGGTGACACACACCTTTAATCCCAGCACTCTGGAGGCAGAGACAGGAAGAAGAGTGTGAGTTTAGGGTCAGCTTAGGTTCCAAACACAAAGAAAAAACAAAAATTATCTTTAAAAAACATGATTCCTGCTTACAACAGCAGCACTGAAGTACAGAAGTGTGAGAGAACAGAACTGCTTCTTTAGGATAGATGGATGGATGGATGGATGATAGACAGACAGACAGACAGATAGATAGATAGATTATAGATATGATAGATGATAAATAAATATGATAGACAGACAGACAGACAGACAGGTAGATAGGTTATAGATATGCTAGATGATCAATAAATATGATAGACAGACAGACAGACAGACAGGTAGATAGGTTATAGATATGCTAGATGATCAATAAATATGATAGACAGACAGACAGACAGACAGGTAGATAGGTTATAGATATGCTAGATGATCAATAAATATGATAGACAGACAGACAGACAGACAGGTAGATAGGTTATAGATATGCTAGATGATCAATAAATATGATAGACAGACAGACAGACAGACAGGTAGATAGGTTATAGATATGCTAGATGATCAATAAATATGATAGACAGACAGACAGACAGACAGGTAGATAGGTTATAGATATGCTAGATGATCAATAAATATGATAGACAGACAGACAGACAGACAGGTAGATAGGTTATAGATATGCTAGATGATCAATAAATATGATAGACAGACAGACAGACAGACAGGTAGATAGGTTATAGATATGCTAGATGATCAATAAATATGATAGACAGACAGACAGACAGACAGGTAGATAGGTTATAGATATGCTAGATGATCAATAAATATGATAGACAGACAGACAGACAGATAGATAGATAGATTATAGATATGATAGATGATAAATAAATATGATAGACAGACAGACAGACAGACAGACAGACAGATAGATATGATAGATAGACTAAGAAAATTTCTTAGTCATTTAAATACTGGTCAGAAGAAGTATCTGAGATCAGTGTTATTGAGAGGCCACCCATTCCAAGTTTACTCTGGGTCGGTTACCAGTGAATATTGTGTTTCAACCCTGTTTCCTGCCCATCTTTAACCTGCCCATGATGAACAAACCGACAGGCAGACAAGCAACCTTTTGATGGAGTGCTCCTTCTTCCCACGCCTTGCTGCGAATTGTGGCAGTTGTCTCTATTCTCTGCTAAGTGCTCTAACTTTCCTTGTCAATCTCCCCCCCCCCAGGTGATGAGTCCAGCGGCTCAGGCAGTGGCAGTGGGTGTATGGATGACGTGTGTCCCACAGAGTTCGAGTTTGTCACCACCGAGGCCCCTGCTGTGGATCCGGACCGGAGAGAAGAGGAATCTTCAGGCACGCAGGGCAGCTACTCCCTGCTCTCCTGGTCTCTGGTCTGCATGGCCCTGGCCCTACAGAGACTCCACAGATAATCATGGGCTTTGGTCAAGTGAAACTGCATTTTAGCTCTTCGGTGGCCAACTCCCTTCTTTTCTTACACTCTTGGACAATGGACCATGCCACAAAACTCACCGTTTTCTATGACGAGAGAGCAGTCTTGCAACCTGCCTCCCTTTTTGTTTTCCCAAAGAGTACTGGGTGCCAGAGGATCTGCTTCTTACCTTCTGCTGTCTGTGGGGACCTTGTTTATTCCAGAGAGAATTCTTACTCAAACCTTTCGTACCAAGAGATTTTTTTCTTACAGTCATTTGCTTTTATGCTGAAAAATTAAAGGAATTTCATGTTGTGAGGGTTTTTTTTTTTCTCTAACACCCCTCTTAAAATAAAATAAGATAGAAAGAAAATAATTTTCCTTTTCAAATCAGGCCAAACCCCAAGACAACTGCCTTTTCAACAAGGAAGCAAATAAAGGAACTCTCATGCTATCAGGTTTGGCAATGGCAGCCAACTCTGGGGCGAGCTTTTCTGTGACAAGCCAAGTTTACAAAATGCTTCTGAGGGGAAAGTGTAACCTTATTTAATGTAGTGGAAATGCACTGTTGTCTTGGAGGTATTGTCTTGCAGTCTACCCAAACTGATTTGGAGGTACTAATAGTGAACTTTGGAGTCTGTCTTTATATGAGTGGTAATCTTTACTGCAACTCAACGCCTCTCTTTCACCTGCCCAATGCCACATTCACTGATGGCAGCATCCTGACACCTGTCCATTGTCTCCAACTGACACCAATTGTTTTCAGTTCTTCACCTCCCCCCCCCAAGTCTCCTTCCTCCTAGGTCTTGACTAAAAATTCATCTTCATTGGTAGAGTCTCTACTTTTGCCACCAGTCTGACATGAATTAGACATCTCAGCCCCTCTGTTCCTGACTCTCCTCCAAATAAGAGTTCTCTTACTGACATGACAAATAGCTCCACATATGAGTTTTTGTTATAGACTCTTTGATTGTGTCAATTGGTTTCAGCATCACAAGGGCATTCTCTTACAAAATAACTCACAACAACAAAAAACTCAAGACAAAAAAGAGAGAAAAACACTATATATATAGTATTGACATGGAGATTTCTTTCACTTTTTTAGTCTTAGTATGATCATCTATTTTTATATCAATATATATATATATATATATAAAAATCACAGATTTTAACTTCTTAATTCCAAGCTCAGGGTTGACACTCCTTTGTAACAAACCTGTTCTGTCAACCAGCTCTTCTTGTTTTGTGGGGCTCAGAGAAGGGATTCCTCAATGATCTGTGAGCACCAAGAATCAAGAAAGAGAACTTTGTATGTATCTAACTGTCCAACTTACAAGATTGCCAGGGCACCCCCTTTCACACAAGTTTGCATTGTCCCTGGTGCTCTAAACTGTCCTGAGCTCGTGGGACGAGCCCTGGTGTGCGAGGTGTTACTGGCAATGGAATGTGTATGTGTAAAGAATGTTACCCATGAAAATCCATTGCTCTCGTGTACAACATCTGTGGCCTAGGACTCCTGCTGGCTACTGTAGTAAACGACCTAAACTCAAGAGGCCAATTTATAGCTACAGCCTATCCTCCCCACAAAGCCAGGCCTAATGCTTCCCCTGGCAGAGAGAAGCAAAGCAAACCAAACTGGGGTTGTATGAAGACAGTTGGCTAGCCATGTGGTTTTGGTTTTATAGGTTTTTGTTTTGTTTTAGGTTTTGGTTTTTATGATGCATCTGGAATAGGGAGGAGAAATCTTTCAAGACACCACAGCATGCCAATCACATTTTAACTGACTCGTTGACAGTACTGACACATAAATGGTTCTATCTCTATTCTCATCAAAATTAAAATTAGTTATCGATTTAGTCATCATGTCTAAGTAGAACACATGCACTAGTATTAAGTATATTTGAGCACTTTTTGAAAAACAATACAAGCATCTGTTGCTACTTTATGCCTAAAAAAATATGGAAGTATGGGATTCTGGGAGACTTTGTGGCATCTTTCACTTAAATTTGTGTGAAGTTAACACTTAATCAAATCCAGAATTGCATCCTTTTGGAAAACCGTCCACCTCACTGCCCCTTTCAGTTTCTAACCACAGTTACACATAACACATCTCCATGAAGGACCAGTCATTTATGTTACTCAGCTCATTGTATGTTCAGAGATCAGTATTGTTTTGTTTTCCCCAATAATCATGGTACAATATGAATTAAATCAACTTTGATTCTCTAGGATATTTGAGTAATAATTTATGTTTTGGCTCTAAGCTCCAACTTTCTTTTTAAAAATATTTCTGCATCATCTTCTATAACACAAATCAAGACTCTTATTTTTCCTGTGCTTTTGCCCCAAATGGTTTTTTGAATGTGTATGACAACACATTACATTAATGAATGCGAACCCATGTTCTGAGCACACTAATCAAACAGACAATATAGAAATGCCTGCTTCCTTTGTTTCAGCACCTGTATTCTCAAGGGTCTTCTTATTGACAAGATACAGTGATGCGTACGAGCCAGGCAGAGGGTTGAAATGAAGACCAGCCAAGGAAATCACACCGTTAGTCACCCTGCATGGACATGGTCAAATTACTATCCACTTGCGCTTCCTGGTCTTTGTCATCATCCAGCATATGGATTTTAGACTAACTTGACGTTAAGATGTTTTGTTTTGTTTTTCCTGCTCCCTAAGCCTTCTCATTGAGTCACCCCTTCTCAGTACTGCAGAATCCTCCTCCCAAATTAATTTTCTCCTTTCAGCATCGTGATAGGGATGTGTTTGTGACACATTGTCATTCATAGCCTGTGCTCCTTTGTGATGACGTCCCTAAATTCTGTGATCACATCACGACTTGTGTTATGAGTAGAGAGGAATGGGACCCCAAAATTGGACACTAGAAATTGGTGGGTGGTGCTCATAACTGAAAACACTTAGCTTATTGAAGTGCCTCTATTTACATGTTCTTTAGTTATAATATGTATTTTTCTAACAGAAATACACGTCTGTAATTGATGTTTATTATACTTTGTATATGTTACAACAAAGGCTAAATGGAGGCTAATGTCTTCAGCAGAGAAGAATGGACTGTAAATTTATGAATAAGAGCACTGTGGTCCTGCATGGACAGCTAGGAGACAGCCTTCTACCGTTGCATTGAAGACCAAGTTGGCGCTTTGATTACAGCCCTCAGACTGGAGCACTGGAAGTCTGACTCCCTTACCTTGGTTTTCCAAGGAGGAAGGTGACATGAGTCACCTGCTTCAAATGTAAGGGATAGAAACTACTTTTGTCTACACTGAAAAAAAAAAAAACCAACACTATTCATTGATGAGAAGTGGCAATTTTAAAAGAAACATTCTTTAAGTCAAACACATTGAAAATATTATTGGATGCAGAACAACCACAAGATTTAAGTTCCATCCCCTGCTACAGACATTAGCCTTCCTTGATTCTTCTTGCCATTACATACATATTTTGGCTACCAGACTAAGCACCAACTGAAATCCTCAAGGAGGAATAAAACTTGGTAAAATCCTGACTTGTGATCTGTTTCTTGCCTTTTTCTGCAAGGCTGGTTACCAGGTAGTAACTTTAAGTTCCCCATGTTAATGGATGCAGGATTTGACTTCTCCAAACACTTGCCGATACTCAAGCTCCTTTTACTTGATTCACAATCTCTAGCATATTTAAATTTAAAACAACATAGCCTTGCAACCAGAAGAGGAAAGCAGTCCATATCGTCTAAATCGACAATGTGTTCCTCCTTGGTAGAGATATCAGCCAGTGCTTAGTTTTAGGCCAACTTATACAAATAGAGTACTGATTTGTATGCATTCTGGAGACTTGCTATGTCATGTTCTGCTGCAGCCCAGACTCAGCGTAGCATGGAGCACCTGGGACTTCACTGACAGTGGGGTGGATACTGGAGTCTTTGGTATTGCCTCGTAATGAGGGACTTCATGAGCAGCGCCTGATGAAGGCACCACAGTGCAGTCTCTCTGTGTGCATATACAGAACACATATGCAGGATAAATGTGTGCACCAATCAAACCTAAAATTTTATGTGACTGTCAAATGACTATTATTTGGGTTAAGATTTTTCATTTCTGATTTGGATAGAAAATTGCTATTAATCTTGTATTAAAATAGTTTTTAAAAATCTACTTGTGCCCTCTCTGTGCTTTCTCAACGATTGTCATAGCCCGTGTTTTATATTTTCAAATTGTCCTGTTCACATCATTCTGGAAGCCTCTGCACTAAAAATCAGTAGTCAACCAAGTACTCACAGCACTGAAGACTGGGAAGCTCTGCGAGTGTAGGACATTCTGTTTCTTAATGTGTACGGAGAACACTCAGTCCTCCTTTTTCTGTTTCTTCTTGGAAAACACATGTGGTGTCATAGAGCTGATGTCAATACCATACAGACAAGGTCAGAAAAAAATAAATAAGATCACCTGTCAAAGAACTAACTGCTTCCAAATGGGGCCAGCTGTGTTGACTTCGTGTTTCTGAGATACATCCATGCTCTCATTCATACTGAATACTAAAGCCCTCTAGAGAGTCTCCGAACAAAATGTCTGAAATCCTTCCCTCTCTGCTCACCCTGCTGTGCGTATTCTGTCAGAGGAGTCCAGAAACCATCAGGTGAGAGGTAGTCAGTCCTCAAGGTAGTTAGCCATTATTTTAATGGAAATACATCATCAATTTAAAGAATACTCTTAAATGAAGCAGTATATATAAAAAAAGAAAGGTATCAAGAATGTGGCATTTAGCAGTAAGGAACACTGCAGTTTAATTCAGTTATCCCCATCGTGGTTTCTATCAAGCAAAGTGGTTTTCACAAGACCATTTGGGAGCTACGGAACAAATGCACCTACAAAATCAGAGTGTAACAGCTTTGATTTGGAAGTGAACTGAACCAAGTTTAACGTGAAGGAAAAGCATCAGAAGCACAGTACATTTCACTAAGAAATAAGATTGTTTATTTTGAATGAACAGCCTGGGAAAATAATTATCAAAATAGCATTCACTCTAAAGAAACAGTGGCAATTAGAGGTCAAATATTGATTTGTATCTTGATGGAAGGGCGTGGCTCCTAGTTTAAGCCTATGCAAACAGACCTGCTCAGATGCTGTGTGGTCAATGTATTTCTCTGCCATCGATTCAAGGGGGTTAACATGCAGTCAAACACACCGTGCTGGGTTATGCATGAAACACATAGCAAAGCCAGGAGGAATTAAAAGCCTTCCTCACGTCCCAGGGAAGTGTGGGCTCTTGAAGCATAACCAGAGCAAGGAAAGGGAGATGTCATCCCAGCAATGTGTCAGTAACTACCAGCAACAGTCTAAGAGCAGATGGAGCGAGTTCTGCTTCCAGGCATCTTGCATCTTACCAACATGAAAGTAAACAAGGGAACATGGTGACTTCAAAAAGTGTGAGATTATGTGAAGGGACTTAAAGAGGGCGTGACACTAGGGAGGAGACTCTCCTTAGTTGGGTGGTCATGGAGAGCCTGCCCTGGTGGTCTGGGAGCTCCCACCTAACGAAGCAAAGAACGGCCATGGGAAAGCTAGAGGTGGAGATGACCTCTGACTGCAGGGTAGCTGCACACCAGTCCCCAAAGACAGAGAACACCCATTGCATGCTTATTCTGAAATGTGGTGTCTTTTACCGGCCTTCTCTCTTAAACTTTTTTCTTCATAAAAATCCAAAGGAAATTTGTCTGCAGATTCAGGGTGCTTGCACGCCCTTGAACTCACAAATGCTGTGAGTCAAACAACTACACTTGGACAAGAAATACATGTAGTCTTCATTACCGTGCCTGTCAGTGTGGCCTAGAGATCACATTGAGAAAAAGGCAAATTATGTACAGTGTCTTGTTGATCCCAGGGACTCTGCCCTTCATCAGTCTTACTTGCAGTTTATTTACCTGGTCTAATCATCATGGTGATTCAAGATAGGAATGCAAACAATTGAGCAGTCAGCTTGCACAGGAGACTGGCCCGGCACCTTTGCTGACCACTGTGGAGGACTACAACACCAAAGACTCGTCCAACTAAGTCCTGATGCTGGTGGCTGGTCTGACTTGAACTTTTCTCTTTAGACATTCAGAAATGGACTGTCTAGTTACAGAGGGATCTGTCTACAAAGCCAGATTGTTGGCACAGCATGCCCTGTATTAGTGAAAAGAAGCTCATACCAAAGGGAAACTTCAAATCCGTCTTCCTTCGTGATCACTGCCACATGTCCCTGACTCAGGCAGGAGTGCCTCTCTTGGCCATACAGAGCAGAGAACCTGGCGCCAAAGCCTCCATTTCCTCACCTGACTTTGCTTACCGTTCATTTCTCCTTCTCTCCCTCCCCTCGGGCCATGCAAACCCTGAGAACTGGATGTTGAGTTATTCTGGTTCCTGGAAACCTCTTCCTGAAGTGTGGGACTGACACAGTAGTCTGGGGCTGACAGGGCCAGAAAGACACCAGTTTCCCCACTCATCTTCAGCTCTGAACCATAAATTGTGGGTTCTAGAACAGTACTCCCCTCCCGTGTGTGACAAATGAAATGCCCCGGATTACAGTCAGCAATGATATCTTACACAAAGATGATACTCAAGGCTTGTTAATAATTTTAAAGTTTCACTTGTTTAAGTATTTCATATAAATCAGCATTTGGACAATATTCTAATGGAGCCACAGATAAACCTAGCATTCATACATGTGGTTTTAATGTTATTGTTGTTGTTAAGAGTGAAGCCTTTTGAGTGATGAGCAAAGGGGTCCAGACAAGGCTGGGGAAACCCACAGAAACAGCTGACCTGAACAAGGGGGAGCTCAGGGACCTCAGGCTGATAGCTGGGAAACCAGCATGGGACTGATCCAGACCCCTGAACTTGGGTGTCAGTTAGGAGGCCTGGGCAATCTATGGGGCCTCTAGCAGTGGATCAGTACTTATCCCTAGTACACGAATGGACTTTGGGAGCCCATTCCACATGGTGGGATACTCTCTCAGCCTAGATACACAGAGGGGGTGGGTGGGCTAGGCCCTGCTCCAAATGATATGACAGACTTTGAAGGTCCCCCATGGAAGGCCTCACCCTCCCTTGAAAGCAGAAAGGGGTTGGGATGCGGGGTGGTCAGGGGCAGGGGAGGGAGAGGGAACTGTGAATGACATGTAAAAAAACAAGATTGTTTCTAATTTAAATTTGAAAAAAAAGATTGAAGTTAGAAATAATGCTAAAGAATATTTTTGTTTGTTTGTTTGTTTTAAGCAAATGTATATGCCAAGCAACATGTATTTGGGTAGAGAGCTTGATTCGGGAAAGATGGGTAAACAAAAATGGCTTTTTCTGGAAAATGATGACAGTGGCTTTCCCACACCAGAAATCTTCCTTCCTCTGGGACAAGCATTTGGTCACTCTCCTGTGTCTTGGGAGCAGGGAAAGTTCCTTTTGGGATGGCATAGGAGGAGGTAAAAGGAGACTGAGCAGAAACCCTGCCCTCAGAGGAAAGAAGCCCACAGTGAGGTAAAGCAATAAGAAAATCGCAAAGGAACTTTGATACAGTCAGTGAATATTCATATCTACTCACAAAGTGTAGGTCAGAAGCCAATGAGTCCTGGTCTTTCCAAGATAATCCCCTGCTTCTGTCCCAGAGTAAAGATTGACAGTATCTCTTTCACTCTCCATAATGTCTTTGGCTTACATGATAAATTATAAGGCCAACTCAAGGCTTAATAATGCCCATTTACCTCATACACAAGGACATCTGTTCAACTATGTTCATAGCAGCATTGTTTGTAATAGCCACAACCTGGAAACACCTAGATGCCTCCCAACGGAAGAATGCGTGGAGAAAATGTGGTACATTTACACAATGGAGTACTACTCAGCAGAAAAAAAACCAATGGAATCTTGAAATTCTCAGGCAAATGGATGGAACTAGAAGAAACCATCCTGAGTGAGGTAACCCAGTCACAAAAAGACAAACATGGTATGTACTTACTCATATGCATTTTAGACAAAGGAGTACCAGCCTACAATCCACACCTCCAGAGCAGCTAGGAAACATGGAGAACCCTAAGAGAAACATTCATGGTCCCCCAGAGAAGGGGAAGGAGACAGGATCTCCTGAGTGGATTGGGAGCATGGTGGGAGGCGAGAGGGAGTTGGGAGAAACAGAGGGGGAAAAGAGGAGGGGAGAGGAGGACATGGGGAGCAGGAGGGTTGAGTCAGGGGAAGAATAGAGGAGAGCAGGATGAGAGATACCACAATAGAGGGAGCCATTATAGGTTTGAGAAGAGATCTGGCACTATAGAGATTCCCAGAGATCTACAAGGTTGACTCCAACTAACAATCTAAGAAATTGTGGAGAGGCTACCCTAAATGCCCTTCTCTGATAATGAGATTGATGACTACCAAATATGACATCCTAGAGCCTTTATTCAGTGGCTGATGGAAGCAGAGGCAGACACCCACAGCTAAACACTGAGCTGAACTCCTGGAACCAAGTTGCAGAGGGAAGAGTGATGAGCAAAGAGGTCAAGACCAGGCTGGAGAAACCCACAGAAACAGCTGGCCGGAACAAGGGGGAGCTCATAGGCCCCAGACTGATGGCTGAGAGGCCAGAATGGGACTGATCCAGGCCCCCTGAACGTGGATGTCAGTGAGGAGGCCTCGGCAATCTATGGGAACTTGGGTAGTAGATCAGTATTTATCCCTGGTGCACAAATGGACTTTGGGAGCCTATTCCACATGGAGGGATGCTCTCTCAGTCTGGACACATGGGGGAAGGACTAGGCCCTGGCTGGGATGATATGACAGACTTTGGGGATCCCCCCATGGTGGGCCTCACCCTCCCTTGATGGGGGAGGGGGGAATTGGTAGGGCATGGGGGAGGAGGGGAGGGAGAGGGAGCTGGTATTGACATGTGAAGCAGGCTTGTTTCTAATTTAAATAAAAATAAAATTTAAAAAGTAGCTGGGCGTTGGTGGTGCACGCCTTTAATCCCAGCACTCAGGAAGCAGAGGCAGGAGGATCTCTGTGAGTTTGAGGCCAGCCTGGTCTCCAGAGCGAGTGCCAGGATAGGCTCCAAAGCTACACAGAGAAACCCTGTCTCGAAAAACCAAATAAATAAATAATGCTCATTTACAAGATCAAATTATATTCGC